CGCGCCACCCACACCTGGCCCCGATCCCAATCAAGATGCCTTTCGAAGAAGGCGTCTTTTCACAAAAAAGACACTATTCTTTCAAGAAGGTGGTTTTCCACAGCATGGAAAAGAGTCTTGCATACACTTGCCCAGAAGGGAGTGCACTTTATGCAAACTGTGTTCTCTCCTGTTTGTCACAAATCTCATACATCAAGATGCTGGCGGCTCACCCCCCGCTCCTGCCGACCCAGCCTTCCCTTCCAATCGCTTCACCACCCTTGCAGGGCACCCCACAGCCAGCGAGTAAGGCGGGATGCTCCTGTTCACAACCGCCCCTGCGCCAATCACACACCCATCGCCGATCTCCACACCAGGCAGCACGGATGCCTTGCCGCCAATCCAAACATCGTTGCCGATTGTCACTGGCAGAGCGCTCTCCACACTCCGCCTCTCCACTGCATCAAGAGGGTGGGTGGCAGTGTAGATGTGCACTGCTGGGCCTAAGAAGACGTTGGCACCAATCTTAACCTTTGCGCAGTCGATCACGACACAGTCATAGTTGGCGTAGAAGTTGTCCCCCACGTTTATGTTGATGCCATAGTCGCAGCGAAAAGGGGGTGTCACTCGGCAGACGGGCCCTGAGGAGCCGAACCAGGTGGAGATGAAAGCTGCCTTGGTGGCCTCGTCGTCCTGGTAGCCAATGTCATCGTTATAGGCACGCGCCTTGCGGAGGGAGTCCATTCGCACTGTGGGCGGGGGGCCAAGATCAAGAAGTCAGCCTCTCATCGATTGAGGCAGGTTAAAGAGCAGAAGAAGGGCAAGTTTTCTTTGTCTTCGATGCCCAAATAAAGAAGGGCTTGGTCAGGAACAACTTCTCTTGGATTGATGCCAGGTGAGGAGCAGAAGCATGTGTGCTGGAGAGCCATGTCAATTGAATTGATACACAGAGGAGAGCAGAAGCAGGGTTTCTCTCAGTGATAGGTAGACACTGGGGAGCAGGAGTGGGGTCATGTTGTGGGAAAATCTCTCTTCGATTGCTGCATGGTGGAGAGGGCATCGGTTGAAGAGAGCAGAGGCAGGTAATGCTGTGGAAGAATGCCTGATGGACTGGTGCACACACTGGGTGGGGGAGGGGAGGCATGCTGTGGAACGATCGCTCTCTGATTGATGTATGGAGGAGAGCATAAGCAGGGTATATTGGGGATCAATCTCCCTTCGACTTATGCACAGTGGAGACAGCACAAGCACGATTTTGCTGTGGAAGATCGGGAAGGCAGCCTCTCAGCGATTTAGTGCACTTTTGGGGGGCGGAGTGAGGGTATGCTCTGGGACGATTTGTATGAATGCTGCATGGTGAAGAGTGCATCGCTTGAAGAGAGCAGAGGGTGGGGTATGCTGTGGAAGAATGCCCAATGGATTGGCCCACTGAAGAGAGGGAGCAGGCCATGGTGTAGAACAATCTCTCTTCGATTGAAGCAAGGTGAAGAGAGCAGAGGCAAGGTACGCTGTGGAAGAATGCCTCATCGATTTGGGCACACTAAGGAGCAGGGTGTGGATATGTTTGGGTTTTGTCCCATCCTAAGCAAACACAATCTTATGGTGCTTGAACAGCCGGCAGCACTGATGCCCAGTGGGGATGGATGCTGGGACAAGAGACGTGGCTCGATTCAGGTTTGGAAGCAGGGGAGGAATCCTTCATCGATTGGTGTGAACTGAAGACTACAAGTGGGGCCCATGTTGTGGGAGAATCCCATCCCAAGCCAACATTTTCCTACGAGCGGTGAAGTGGGAAGCACTGCAGCCCAGCAGCGTTTGGCGCTGGGACAAGAAAGGTGGCTCGATTCAGGTTTGGGAGCAGCGGATAATGGGAGCAGTGAAAAGAAAGAGGTTCAGTGCATTGGGTATCCTCCCACGAGAAGCAAAGCGCCTGTACACTTTGGAGGGGACCCGGGAGTCCAGATGTGTTGGTGCCCGGCGAGGCGACAGGAGGCTGTGCAACGAACTCCTGAAAGGATCGCAACTACTTCATGCCATGGAGGAGGGGCATTGGTCACGAGCGGAACAGCTGAAACGCAGGGCATCCAGTCAAACCGGAGTTTGGCGCGGCGACCAGAAAGCACAACGCGACGGCGGGCAAAGAGTATCAATTCACTATCCGTTCTAGATGCTTTTTACATGGTGTGTCTCCTTTGTACAAAACCGCAATCGGAGCAGGGAGGAGACGATTACATTGAAGAGGGTCATGGGTGGTGAGGCGGACGGCGCCCAGCGTTTGTTTCCAAGGGCGCGCGGAAGCGAAGCGAAACGTTCCAGACCGACGCACAGGACAAGTCAGGCACGATGAACGACGCTCAAACGTCACTGGATGCGCACAGGCTATCGGGGAATCACGCGGGTGGCAGAGAGCCCAGGGTTCGATCCCAAGCGTGCGTATGTGAGCCAAAACGCTCCAGAGCACTGCATGGGTCGCGCCAGGCATGCCGAGCGACGTTCAGACACCACTGGATGCGCGCAGGCTGGATCCGAGGAGCCCAGCCTTCTGGAGAGCGCAGACAAGGAACAAGCAGCAACGATCACAGATCACTTGCAGAGTGCGCAGGCTCCCTAGGCCGATGCTAGCCTTCCAGGGAGACGATAGAAACGATAAACGGCAATCGACGTCCAGAGAGCACAGGCTAGGCGCCGACTGGACGCGGCCAACGCCCCTTTTGCACGCCTTCGCCTTACTTTTGGTCAGCTGGGGATCGAATCCGTCGTACGGCACCCCCGAGAGCATCTTCTCGAACTCCTCGCACGGAGCGGCCATCCCGATCCAGCGGCAGGCGGCGCCGGTTGGTGGGTCAGCGGCCGGCGACCGGGTCAACGGGCCAGTGGCGGTGGCCGTCGTCTTTGCAGGAGCGGCTGTGGACTCGTGGGCGCCCGGGGTTGGGTGGGTGGATTCTAATGCACTGTATGGGACACGTGCCAGGTGCCCGTCAGGTGCGCTAGGACGTATTTGTCGAGCCCGTGTTCGTTGCACGGGCGTGCGGTCACCAGCGAATAACCTGGAGCATGTGCGCTGCGTTGCCGTTGCCGCAATGCTTCTTGACTTGCACAGTCGGGTTTTGAAATCAGTTTGCAGGCGAGCCCAGAGGGCTGCGGGGGCGAATGTGTGCATCTGCAAACTGTGCCCGCCCTCTTTTAAGCAGGCTTGGTACTTACGGCGTAGAGACAGATCGTATTTCCGTTCTTACGTGTAACAGGCATAAAAGTACCTAAGTACAGGCTTACATACCCGTGTACTTAAGCAGGCTTGTTTTTTACGTTTACGTTTTTACTTTTACATTTTTACGCGTAAAAATGTAAATTTGCAAAAGGGCCTATTTTTACGGCTATTTTTTACGTTTTTACGGCTCCCTGGCACACGTAGGTTACACGACAAAAGTTGCCTATAATGATCAGTCCTCCGCCATCTGCAGCACCTGCAACACAATGTCCTCCTCGACCATGGCAAGGGCGATAATGACGTTCAACAAAAACTCGACTTCTGCCTCTTCCAAAGCGTCTGGCTGCCACTCTCCGGACTCTGTAAGTCTGCATGTACTGTCGTTATGTACACCAATCAGTTTTTACGTTGTATTTACGTATTTTTACGCATTTTTACGCGTAAAAACGTAAATACGATCAGTTTTTACGGCGTAAAAACCAAGCCTGTACTTAAGGACAGTAGATACAGACTCAGGGAGTCCAGGGAGCGGCAGCCAGACGCGCTGGAGTGGGCAGAGGACGACCTTCTGCTCGGTGACGTCGTTGCCCTTGCCGTGGGCGAGGTGGACGCTGTGTTGCAGGTGCTCGAGGGGCTGGAGGACTGATCATTGTATGCGACTTCATCATGCAACCTGGATGCCCCAGCGAGCCGTAAAAATAGGTAAGTGTAGCCGCAAAAGTAGCCCCTTCTGCTTGTTGACGTATTTGCGCACAAGAGCCCTAACGTTAACCTAAATGTCAAGCCTGCTCTTAAGAGAGGAAGTATCAAGACCAAGTCCTGGCCTCAGCTGCCCGGACATCGCTCTGGGGTTTTGAGCCTCCCCAAATTTTCAGAGATAGAAATTTAACCATTATCAGGGCCTTCTGCGTCCGCACAATTCCGCAGTAAGTGAAGTTTAGTGTGTTTAAGTTTAATGTGCTGCTATTCTGGGACAGATTCCGTGGCATTCCGTGACTTCCTGTTTCTAGTTTGAAGTCGATTTAGTCAATCCCCATGTTAGTGCAGAGATTATTGCGCCACCGATATTTGATATAGTGAGGGCCTTACTGAGCCGGGCGTCGAAGGAACGCACCATCTCAGCCTCAAGCTCAGAGGGAAGGTACAATCCCCTCTTCTCACAGATGCTTACATTAACAACAACACGCAGCTCAAGCTCGAAGGCACACGTCATCGCGCATTGATCTGCTCATAGGGGTGCGTGAAGGACTTGGTGACTTGAACGACAGCTTTCGTTCAAGTTGAGGATTGCAAAGGTAAATTTGAACGATTGACATTGATAATACATGTACCGAGTAAGTACAGTATTTGTATACATTGCTGGTTGCCTTCGCGGCAACCCCATGCACAGCGCTTCCTCAAATCCACCACCAACCACAGTCTTGAGCATCTTCGGACGGTACGACCGAACTCTGCACCGTCTGCGGCAACCTCTCCTTTCCCTTCCCAGCCAGCGCGGCATCACTATCGACATCATGCCAAGCTCAAATGTCTCAAATTACAATATACATTGTACACTTATTGTGCATGTACGCGTCGCAAATGTCGCAATGTCGTAAAAATGTATGCACAGTACATGTCGCAATGTCGCAACACGCACGCTGCATCAGCCGTCAATCTCAGTAAGCGCACCCACACGGCACATTCTGTGGGAACATCCACCTTCGCACCATCCTCCCCCTCTCTCCTTTTGTGCCAAGCCGCTCGGCCCAAGTGCCCCTTGCCCAAACCCATCCCCAGAACAGGCTCCAGGAGTCACAGGTGCTTTGCAAGGATGAGCCATACCGGCCTGGGGGGGCCCAAGGCGCCGAGGTCGGGCGCGCTGGGCGGCGGGCGCGCGGAGGCGATCGCCGCTGAGGCGATTCCGGCCGCCGTGCTGACGGGCGCATTTGCGCTGCTGCCGTTCGCGGAGAGGTGCGGGTGCGATGGGAGAGGGAGGGGTGAAATCGCAGGGCTATCTTTGAAGGACACTAGAAATGAAAGCGCCACTTTTGATGACACCAGAAAGCACGAACTTTTGGATGCAGTCACAATGATTGCGTTGGCACAAAAGTAGCCGTTGATGACGGCAGTTGGTGTCAAACGGGATGGTGGTAGGCTTCGCCAGATTCTAGCTTTCTGCTGATGGGAGGGCCGGTAAGGGTGGATTTTGCTGTTTGTTGTGCATGGGAGTGGGTGGGGCGCCTGGTGGTGAGGTGAAGGGCTGCGCGTGCCGAACGAATGTGGTCGTCTTGGGAGGAGGGGAGGGGAATCGCAGGATGGATGGTCCCAATCCTGTTCAGCATCATCTTTTGTTTCTGGGAAGATTACTGCAGTTTGGTTGTTGTGGCAGCCACGGGGGCTTCACCTGCTGTGTGTTTGGGGATGGGGAAATAAATCACACGATCGACGTTTCTGATCATTATCAGTGATCAAGTTTCGTGCTGGTTAAGTTTGTTGCAATTCCATTGCTATGCACATCGTCTGGTGACGGGCCCACGACATGGGTGCACAAAGCAGCCTGTCCTTGGTGCTGGGCATGACCAGTTGAAATCAGTTGTGCTCGGGGATGCCCAGGGACTGGGGATAGCGATGCAGCTCAGTGTGTATTGTGGCATTGACCATCATGAACCAGGAAGGGCAGGGAGAAAATCGGGAGGGGAATTGAAACATCCTTGCCAAATAAGCCCCTGCCCCATCCCTTGCATCAAGTTGATGAGTACCCATCGGACTAGGAAACTGCATGGAAAGTTGGCTGGAATGAAATCGAGCTTGTGTTCCTTACAATCTCTCTGTTGCAACTTGAATCGAAATGCATCGCCTCACTGGTGCTTGTAAGTGTCAAAACTGGACAAACTATGCAGGCATGTCCCTCAAAATGGAAGGAGAGAAGCATGGGAGCCAGGAATGGATGACCAGGAATGGTACACGTTCAACCCCCAGCCATGTTTGAAAAGAAAGGGACATCAGATAGGCGACTCTCAGCTGCTCATGCCATTTTTGATGCAGGAAGGATTCCATTCCACTGGTGTGCAAGCGCTGGAATCGGCTGACAAAAATGCAGCCCGAGATTTGGAAATCATGTGGTTGGGATGGACAGGAGTTGGCTGAAGGTGGGGATGCCGAAGTTGACTGGCTGCGAGCAGTTGACTGGTTCTTGGACAGGTCTGTGGCGGTGGAGTCGCTGATGGCATCAAAGGTCGATTTCTCCTCAGGCACTGATGCACCTGCACACTCGGTGCTGTTTGCTCTGCTGGGCGCATCGTTGCATGAGCTTAAGCTCATGGACTGCAGAATGGACAACAACTTCTGCCTTTCGAGGGCCGGCCTCCTGGGGCTGCACAGCTTGAGGCATCTTGAGATCCGGCTCTCGCACGGCCGAATTCGATGGAACTCTGTGTCGCGGCTGTCCCGTTTGGCAAACTTAGAAGTGCTGTGCATCGGCTGCGCTGGGAGCGTCCATGACTCAGGCAGCTCAGTCTCGATCAACTTCCCACAGAGACTGAGGCGGCTGGAGATCAGCGGCCTGGGGAAAGTGCAGGCAGTCTTCCCACCGGAGGTGTTCCAAAGCTGGCAGCGCCTGGAGAAGTTGGACCTGTGGGGGACCGGGGTGCGGCCCTTCCCCGAGTCAGCATCCACCATGTCCAAACTCAGCGAGTTGCGGGTTTGGATCGAGCCCAGGAAGGGCGAAGATCCGTGGGTGGGCTTGCTGGGCCTGCACGGTTTGAAGCACCTGGAGCTGCAGCTGCACGACGGGTTGCCAGTCTGGAGGGAGCTGAGGCAGCTGTCCCAGCTGCGCAGCTTGGAGATGCTGCATGTTGACTTCGAGATCCAGAACGCGGTTTGGGAGGACGACTGCTCCGCACCTGCCGTTATAAGCTTTCCGCACAGGCTGAGGAGCCTGCGGCTGCGGTGCTTTGGCAAGATCAATGCCGCCCTGTCGCCCCAGGCCTTCCAAAACTGGCAGAGGCTGGAGACATTGGACCTGTGGGGCACCGAGGTGCAGTCCCTCCCTGTGTCCGTCTCCTCGCTCACCAATCTTGTTGACTTGCACATCTGGACCAAATTCAGGCTGGGGGACAACACCTGGGCTGGACTCCTCAACCTGCGCAGCCTGCGGCGGCTGGAGCTTCACCTGGATGATGGCCTCCCTGCCTGGACCTCGATCTCTCAACTCTCGAAGCTGCCCATGTTGCAGATGCTGCACGTTGAATTCATCGGGCAGGGCATCGGCTACGAGCACGGCCGCTTCATGCCCATCTTCATCAGATTCCCACAGAAGCTGAACAGCTTGAGGATTAGGGGCTTTGGCAAGATCAACGCCGTGCTGCCCATGGAGGCGCTGCTGACCTGGAAAGATATGGAGGCGCTGGACCTGGGGGGAACAGAGGTGCAGTCCCTGCCTGCCTCTGTGGCCTTTCTCACCAAATTGACGGAGCTGCGCGTTTGGACAAAGACAAATTTGGCCGAGAGCACCTGGACGGGGCTCAGGTGCCTGACGGGTTTGAGGCACTTGGAGCTGCGCCTGGGGGACGGGTTTCCGTCTTGGAACTCGATGTCGCAGCTGTCGCGGCTGAAATGTTTAGAGTCCCTGCACGTGGACTTCATGGGGCGGAAATTCGCCATGAACGCGGCGAATCCGCTGTTGTTTGCACCGCTAGAGGGGGCCAAATGAAGTGGTTGGGGGGGGCGCTTTTTTTGCCATTTTTTCTGACCCGCATTGGCAAGTATTGGCTGCATCTTATGCGGTCAAGTCTGCTAGATTTGGTTTCCAGAAAATAGGGCCGTTCGAATTGGAAGGCAGGTGGCGGGCACTTGCCTCTTGGGGGTGCTGGCGATGTTTTGGTCTGCGCCGACGTTTTGTTTTCTGTGGTAATTGTTCGTGTAGGATCAAACGATCGTTGGTGGTGGCTTTTGGGTGAATGAGTTGGATGCTGGGTGTGGCCGACGACCTTCGAACTCAAAGATGCAGGCATGTTTCTTCTGAATGGGACATCAGAACGTAATCAACGATCAATCCTCCACTCTCTCCAGCACCAGCAACACAGCACACACCCCGCCCTCAGCAAGGGTAACGACGTTCCCGAGCAAAGATCGTTTTACGTACACTTCAGCGCATCTAGCCGCCACTCTTCGAATTCCCTGAGACTGTATGCACTGTCTTTAAGTATGCAGTTTTGCCGGCTATTTACGCGAAAAACGTAAAAAAATATGCGCAAATAGCCATAAATATAGAAGTGTCTACGCTGCAAAGTCCAGGAGTGCTTCAAGCAGTTGGGAGAGTGCTGCTCTGCCATAAAATGGCCACCGTGAAACGACGTTGGCGTCATGGCAATGGAAACAGTCAGCAGATGTGGAGCACAAATGGGAATTCCCATTTCAGCAAAGCAGAAGTAATTTTATTGAGAATGGGTGTTTGTTTCGTATCGGGATTTCCCCAAAATGACTGATTTACAAACCGGTCGCTGCCCTGTACTGGTGTCACAGCAGAGCTGGTAGTGAAAATTGTCCAGAACTGTGTGAATGTCTGAAGCACGCGGCTAAACATATGGGTCAGTACGTACTCTATACCCAAGCGCCTCACCAGGGAAGTTTCAATGGCTGCTGAATTTCGTTTTCGAGAAGATAGTTTTGACACTTTCGACACGCGCGCCACTGGATTACTTGCAATTTCATCGTAAGTTAATTTGCTTTGTTAATGAAAGCTCTACTGGAAAGAAATAATACAAGATTTTTAATCAAACTGTCGATTTCTACAATATGAACCTTGCTTCAAAGGATTCGAGATTATCATTCATCATTAATCCTAAAGTACTAGTTCGGGAGTAAGAAATTAGAAAAGCAAAGACCTGATTTTTAAGTGATGTTTTCAATTCTCAAGTGCTTTAGAACATTAAAACAACACCAAAACATGATGTTTGAAAAACTTGGCGATCACCTCAACGCAGCGTTGTGCCAAAAGCACCGCCTTTCCATTGCCATGGTCAAAATCAGGGCGGACACGATTGAAACAAATGCATATCAAACCAACCTGAGTAAACCAAAAAACCCCACAAAATGCACAAATGCAACAGAACATGTGCCAAATGTACCTAAAACCATGTACCAACTACACATAAAACTAAAACACTAACACAATGCAAACCTGTGGGAGAACATGTACCAAATCGCACTCGTGACAAATGGAGCGACAACTAGTCCCATCGCTCCGGGTCCTCAATCGAACCCACTTCCCTCGCAGCGGAAGCCACCATCGAAGCAGCCCCTCCCTTCGCCAGCACACCCACACCCACACCCATCCATAGCCCCACTGCGCCTCGCCAGGGCACCGCTTCCGCGCCAAGCTTCACAGCCCCTTGTCCATCACCGGGAATATTCCCGCCGAGATTGACCGCATGGATCGCCGGTCAACCAAGCAAAAGGCGAACGGACTTCATCGCCAGCGGGAGAAGAAGTTGGCTGGCGGTGATGAGCGGCCGGAGCCTGCGGTGGGCGTGGAGGCGATCCCGGATGCCGTGCTGGCGGACATCTTCGAGCTGCTGCCGTTTGAAGAGAGGTGCGAATGGGTCTGTAGACACAGATCGTACAAATGGGGCCCCCTTCCTTCTCTGTATAGACATGTGCCATGCAAAGGGCGCCCCGTCCTAAGCAAGCGTGCGTGGGACTCTTCTGCGTGCCATGAAAAGACGATGTATAGGCTCCAGTGCAAGAAAGTCTCCAGCAAGAAAGGGGCACACCACACGAGCACCACGGAGAGCAGGAAAGGGCGGGAAGGGGTGGGGGGAGGACACAGGATTGGCAGGAGGGATGAAGATGTGTCCTGGGCGGTGCAAAGGGGAGAAACAGCCTCCTGACGGTTGACCATGGTGCGGAAGTAGATGCATGGTCAATGGGTCAACTGGGAGGGAGAGGCAGGCCCAGCGGGTGCCACCCACTCCCGCCACTCCCACACTCTTGGCAACAATGGGATGATTCCTCCAGAGGGAGAGTCATCTGAATTTTGGCAAGAGTGGTGGAGTGGGCAGGCTCTGCGTGGCGGGCTGTTCTTGTGGGCAGGGAAGAGGGGGGAGAGGCGAAGGGCGCAGTGTGTTGGCGGGGGATATGGGGATTTGTGCTTGTGGACCTGTGGGATTTGTGCATGTGCTTGTGGATCTTCGATCCAGCTTCTAGGATGGAAGCTGTAAAGACTGGTCATTTTGAAGGTGGGTGTGTGCTCAAGGGTAGAGTTTGGGAGGGCTTTGAAAGTGCGGATTGGGAAGGCAGAAGCACAGAATCATGGCTGCCATATTTTTGGTTGACATTTCTTTGGGACAGCAGATGTGTGATGCACTCAAGGTTGGGGGGGAGGGGGAGGAGAACCTCCAGTAAGAGGGCTGTGATGAGAAAAGAAACTGGAACAGTGATGCGCAAACAAACTCCCTTTCATTGTGCAGGAACTGACATTCCTAGGGACCTCATTCCAGCGGAATTCATTTTTCAAGAGAGGTTTTCTAGTGAACTTTCAAGCAGACTCCTGCCCAAACTCCTGTGTTTGGAGCATTGAGCTTTGCTGTTGCATTGATTGTGGTTGAAGCACAACCATGGTGGCCACACTTGATGGCACGCTGCTTTGTTCCACAGTCCGATTGTAGCCAAGCACCCTGGTATAAATCCAAAACTCACTGTTCTGTGGTAGCAATGAAAAGCTTCTGTCCTGTTCATTGTAGGTGAAGGGACAGACTGTGGTCCTCTGGGCCACAAATTTCTGAATACTTGTTCCTTGGCATTCACAGTGCTATTTCTGCAGCAATTGAAGACTTTTGCAAGTGCCCTTGCAGCATGGCAGATGGCCATGACCTCTTCCTCTCTGTGCATGTATTGAGCATATACGCTGCAATCTATCACCGTACAGCATTGCACTACATAAATCTTGTGTGTCTCCACACTGCACAATCGATGCCTTTACTTAATTTATCCACCAACTGTCATAAACATACCAACTCGTTTCATTTATGTTTTGCATCAGTGCCCTCCATGACAGGGACAATGGCAAGTTGCCCCCGTACTTCACTGCAGTACTTTATTGCCACAAGCAGCGCCAGGTGGCCTGGTACTTCCCTGCGGTACTGTACTGTCAGATGTAACACTAATTCGTCCAGTACTTTATTTTAGTACTGTGCCTGCCCCAGGCGAGACACTGTGCCACTGGTGTGCAAGTGGTGGAGCCGGCTGACAGTCTCGGAACCCCACATCTGGAAACACTGCAGATGGGATGGCCAAGAGCGGCGGGAGGATGATGATAATAGTGGCGAGATGTCTGGAACCATCGATTGGCCAAGGGTTGTGGAATGGTTCATAGCCCGTGCCGAGGGGGTGCAAACCCTGCAGGTTTCTAATTTTGAATTCCGGTTCAGCCCGGAGGTGCCAACATTCTCAGTGCTGCTGGCGCTGCTGTGCCCATCGCTGCGCGAGCTGAGATTGGTGCGGTGCAAAATGGGAAGGGACTCCTGGATGGGCCTGCTGTGCCTGCAGGGACTAAGACGCCTGGACCTGCTGCTCAACGACCGGCTGATGTCATGGCGGTCGATCTCACACCTGTCGAGGCTGACTAATCTGGATGCATTACACATCGAATATGTAAACAGAACGTTCGAGTATGAGAGCGACATTCCTGGCCCCATAACTGTCCCTTTTGCACAGAAACTCACGACACTCAGATTGAAGAATTTCGGAGATCTTAAGGCCATTGTCCCATCCTGGTGTTTTGAAAAATGGCGGGGAATGGAAATGCTGGATCTGTGTGGCACCGAGGTGATGTCGTTGACTGAGTCAATATCAGTGTTGACCAACCTCGCGGAGCTGCATGTCTGGACTCAGTCCAAGCTTCCCACCGAAATTAGTCGCCTCACTAACCTGAGGATGCTAAGTACTAGGGACACGCCGTCCCTTGGGGCCTTGTGTGGCATGAGCCGGCTGCGGGAGCTGGAGTTCAATCTGAACCGGGCGTTTGAGAGCGTGGAGGATCTGCAGGTGCGTTAAGATACACCTTTTGGCATTCTTTACTGTTTTCTTGATGCAATTGTTGCAAGTTTATTGTCTTTTATGGCCTGCATATTGCCTATTCATAGCCCATTCGTTTTGCAATTGTTGCATGTTTGCTGTGGAATGCATTCATGCACTTCCACTTTAGTGTGACAAGCCCTCGCGCTCTGCAGCATTTGCAACCCTTGCACGCAAACGTGGCATCAGTCCAGTTCATTGGCAACACCCGCAGCGCCGTCTTACACTCAAGCACCTTCTGCTATACTCAAGTGCCTTCTGCTTGATAACTGCAAAGACATTCCTAGATAGTCACAAAAGCATCGAGGCACAACGACAAATGACAGATTTCGAGGATTTGCAGCGACTCTCCGCGACAGCATATCTGCCTTCCACATGCGCAGGTCATGAGCGGACTGGCCATGCTCACCAGCCTGAAATTCAAATGGCCGGGCGGATATTTTCCCCAGGAGCTCACCGGCCTCAGCGCGTTACGCTACCTGGACCTGTCGGATGACTCATTGTCCGACCTGCCCTCCGGACCATATTTAGACAACCTCACGGAGCTGGACTTGAGCTGGAACGGATTTAGCCAGGTGCCGGGCGTGCTGTGGCGGGCCAGCAACCTGGTGCGCCTGAGTCTGGCGTACAACGACGAGTTGGAGCTGGGGGAGCTTGCCGTGGATGCCATCCTGGAGATGGAGGACTTGCTGTTTCTGGACATCAGGTGGAGGCGCTTTCACAGCGTGCTTTTATTGATGCATGTTTGAAAGCATGTCTAGTTGATGCGTGCTTATTGCATGACTTGTTTGATCAGTACATAACGTTTATGCTTTCATGCGCATAAAAGTATGCGTGGACAGATGTGCATCAAACTTGCGCGCTCGCCCATTCATTGCGTGTCTAGTGCATGCTGTAGTTAATGTATGTTGAAATGCGTGGTTGAACTATGGCGTATATGTTGCATGATTGGATTAGTGAATGTTTTGGTTCATGTTATTGCCGTGTGCGGTAACGAGTTGGGGCTGGAGGAGTTCGCAGTGGATGCGCATTTGGAGATGGAGTACTCCCTCGTTCCGGACGTGAGGTGGTGGCCGTTTTCGATGCGTGTTTTGGTTGCAACGTGTGTGGTACATACATTAGTTGAACAGCGCCTATCCGGCAGGTAGACAAATGCTCTATTTATATATACATGCTGGTTATTTTAGGTAAATTACGTTAATGTTATGTGCACAGTACATAGTTTGAATTTGGAGAATGCATGCTCGTGAGCAGGCTCTGGTGTTTTTACTCAAGGAAAACCTATGCATCTGCACATCGTATTTGTCTATGATATAAAATTCTTGAGTGCACTTTGTTTTATGCATCGCACAGTTAGTGTCAGTGTCCGTATCTAGGCTCGTATGCGTGTAACTGTAATATAAGCACACGCATGTATATGCACCTACACACATAAGTCCGATATTACGTAGTGTGGATATCCAGGTAAGTACGTTACGTAGTATGGCGCGGGATTGATTGACTGTTGCCCATTAATTGAAAGCAAGAATTCTGCTGTTGATGTGTTTGCTGTCGCGCGACAGCGCACGTACCAACGCTCTTGCAGTCACCTGTGGACGCGATTGAATTGACGGAGTTGTTGCATTTGTGGATTATTTTAAATATCATCATATTGAGTGGCGCTGTTCTGAAGCAACCCGATGCAAATAGGGAGTATTGTGAAATTCAAACGATCTGCAAGTTTGTATATGGACTTGCTAGATAAGACATCCCAAAAGGTAGGGGAAGGGTGGTGCACGATGTACTGCATCGCTTACTGAGATAAGGCATACTGAACAGCCACATTAGAAGGATGTACGTGTTCGCGGTTTTTATTCAAGAGGAAGATGTTAACCTAATCCCTAACCTGAGAATTTGGGCTGGCTTTGAGAGTTGTGTGCACACTAGGTTCCTCGAGGACAAACAGTGGACGCAGGCGTCCTTTCGAAATTTGGTGAGGCTGATGGAGGAGAAGAACGACTGGCTCATTGTGTCCGCGGACAGGACCGAAAGCATCGACGAAGATGAAGACTTTTGAAGTAAAATACTTGGCAACGTTTGCTCTTCCTGCCTTCCATAGTAGTTTGGAGAGTAGCGTGGTGAGTATGATGTGTTTTGAGTTTCAGCATTTCAATGCAACGGGCACCGGGATTTTTGATACAAAGTTCCCGAATCTTGTTGTGCTTGTTCCGGGCGCAGTTTGCTGAGGGGCATGATGTACCACGTTCAGGGGCGGTGTAGTTCGGCGTCTTTCACTTTTAAGGGTGACTGTCGGGAGAGCAACTGCGTTTTCTTGTTGTCGAAGTTTCTGTGCGGATTTAGGAAACGAAGTTGGAAGCACGCAGACGGGCACAAAGACCCTTTCCAGAAAAGCGGTACAAGCGCGTGCTGAAGACAGTGAGCCCCATGTCCGCGTTCCCAAAACAGGGTCACACGCGCCCGACGAAAATACGGTAATCTCGATCCGGAACAAAGGCGATGCGTATGGAATGGAAACGCCGCGCCGCCGTTGGCAGTTCGCGACGGTGGAACCGCCCTCAGGTTGGCATCTTGGACGACTGACGGTTGGCTTGCCAGAGTTCGGGGCATCAGCCTACGTGATCCAGGCTTGACACGCCGATCATATAGCGATGCAGACAGGTTGAACGGATGAGTGGCACACAAACGCTCTCGGAAGCATATATGCAATATGCACGTATGTACGTGTGTATACACAAGTTGGGATGTACACTCGCCGGGATACGTGTCATTGCCTGCAGGGCGCAAAGGGCGCCGCTCTTTGTCTTGCCAAGGCAAGGTAGGGATGTTAGCCAGCACTCGCGATATCAGTCTCCATCGATCATGTAGCGATGGCTGACTACACCCCAGCGGCGAGCGGACAGAATGAACCGATGCACGGGTCGCAAGCGCCCTTTTATACGTGCGTGTCTGGATGTAGACGCGGTGGGATGCTTACGTGATCGCCTGAAAGGTCTTTGGCGACAAGGTCGTTGTTTTTCTTGTCTCGCGACGTTAATCATGTAGCCATTGGTGACCGCGAGGCTGACGAGCAGATAAAGTGAGAGGCGGCGCGACACAGAAAGCCTTCTTGGGTGCTCGCACGTCCGCCATGGCTCACAAAGTGCGCGGACATGGCTCTTTGTCTTGTCAACGGCAATTTCAATCCAAGGACAACAACTAGCGCTCGAGGGCACACCTTCCAGCTCTTCGTCCACTCTGATCTGTGTGGAACGTTCCAGCTTGGCTGCCAGGCGGCTGGGAGACTTTTAAGAGTCCAAAATTTTGGTATGTGGGAAAGCCGGGCAGGAACGCTAACGAGGAATTGGAGGCAAAGCCAGCATGGGGCGGGGCATGACTAGCAGCTATTGGCTCTCATTTCACATGAACGATAATGCAATTATATTCTGCAATTGTCCGCAAACTCGAGCCTAATTGCTGTCGGCGGCAACCGCAGTGTCGCACACCGCTCATGCGTCGACTACAGGGGTTGTTGGTAAGCGCTCGAGATGGCATTTTGTTTCTAATCGATTTGCCGACAGGAGCATTTTGAGCGAGCCAGACTGAGATGACCTCAGGCCTCCGGAATCGGAGCGTTGCCCATGTTTGGAATCCAATTACCGCATTTCTGCACTACGCGCCCGGACTGCACAATCACGCAAGGTCGTGCGCCGGAGCGAAACCGCAAGCCAATGGCAACACACATCAACAGTCAAATCGGAAACGTAACGCCCTTCCAAAGGGCCCCGTATTGTTGATGTGCAATGCACTGCGCCTTCGCCAATCGCCCCACGTCCCACCACGTGGCGACAGTCCCAACCCCTCGAGCAGCATCTAGATGCAGCGCTCCATTCCCACCGAATACTCCAGACTTACGGTCAGCAGAAAGAAACATCAGTACACAACACGCATATGACACATTAACCAAATCCATACATCCCACAAGTGTTTGACATTGCAAAAATGGACATGAAAACAGGCCGCGCATCGAAACGCATGCAAGCGTGCATCTAATCAAATTGCTTCCTCCCGAACGGCGTCAAATCGCATCGAAAACACCGTATGTCATCAAAAATATCGCACCGCATCACTATCGCAGCGCCCGAACACAGCACGTGGCGCACGCAAAAGCCGATCCGGGGCCAGCCTACAAATTGGCCTCCACGGCGACCCTGCTGCCGCCCAAAACAGACACATTACCCATTCGGTACCAGCGAAGGCACAAAGATCCAAAGGATCCGTTCAAGAAAACCCGAATCGCACCGGCAGAAGAAATCTCCACAGCACAGCGCCAAGCCAATCCAACCACAGAATTCGGACCCCTGCAGCTTCCCAGCGGCTTCGCTCCGCAGGCAGTGGTCGCATCTTTCAAGCTCCTCAAGCTCACAGTTTGACTTCGACCACCTTCTCCGTTCCTTAATGCGCATGCACGCTCGAGCCTCCGACGCGCCACTGATGCCCCCATTCGCTACACGCGAAGACCTCCCTGACCCCCGCCACCGGAATTAGACCCTGATTTAGGACCCAGGCAACGTGGCTGACGTCACCGCCGTCACCAGAACCTGCGCTTACACGTTGCTGACGTCAGTTTCCTGCTGGGACCCTTTCTTCCCCTCCTGATAGCTCGTCACCTCCGGGCCCGCGCCGTAGACGCCCGTAGACCCCGACATGGTGCCGTCCGAATTGTACGTGAAGTTGAAATAGCCCCACGTGCCGGGGGGGAGTATCTGGCAGTTGTCGCAGCTCCAACCGCCGGCATATTCTCCGGAGTCCGGCGCCAGCGCGCCCACGAAGTTGATGGAGCCGAAGATCTGCCACGTGGTGGTGCCCTCGTAGATGTTGCATGGCAGGCTGGGCTTGCGCGTGATGGTGGAGGAGCCGTGGTCGCTGGGCGGGGCGCCGTCGGAGTAGGCGGAGGCTGGGGGCAACGGCAGGGGTGGGGTTAATTGTTGCCTCATAAATTTGAAGCATTTTCACTAATGTAACATTGTCGCTCGATGTAGCCAATTTTCGCAAATGCAAGTTTTTGTTTACTCAGCCTTGGTTTTTACGCCGTAAAACTGATCACATTCATGCTTTTGTGTGCAAAAATATTTTTAGGTTCTCACGCGCAAAATACGTAGAATATGTAAACACAACGTCAATGCAGCCCCGTGTATACAAGGGCAGTTCATACAGATATATACATTTGGGGAGTCCGGGGAATAGCATCCAGGCGCTTAGAAGGGGCAGAAGACGAGTTTTTGTTACACGCCATCATTGCCCTTGCTGAAGGCGTGGTGGACGCTGTGTTGCGGGTGCTGGAGATGGCGGAGGACTGATCACTGTACGGGACTTTCACCCTGTAACCTGGGTGTACCAGGGAGCCGCAAAACGTAAAAATTAGCCCCTTTCGCAAATGTACGTTCTTGTGCGTAGAAACGCAAATGTTAAAATGTAAACGCAGGTGCAAAAATCAAGCCTGAATGCAAACACGTTTACTAACTGAAAACTTTTGTTCAATGCGAACATTTGATCAGGTGCAAAAGTTTGTGGTGAATCCAAACACTTTGAATCGATGCAAATATGTTGACTAAAGGCATTGACCGTGCACAATCGAGACAATGCATTTGTCGCATGACGCTCATCTTTACGTCAACGGCGTTTGTTCGACTCTCAAAGCGGCCCGACTCTGGTCGCTCCGGAAGGTCTAATTGTTGAATAAAGTCTTGACGTATTAACTAAATGCACAGCATTGACCGCACACAATGCACTAGGAAAAAAAGGGCCAAATAACACTATTGCAAACACACATACAACACATTTCATCAACGTTCTGCACGCTGAGAACACATAAATAACACAAACCCGTAAATTTTGTACACATTTGAACACGGATTATTTGGCCCTTTTTTCCCTAGTGATCGAGGCTATGTATCTGTCACATGGCGGGCATACTTCTGTCCACACCGTTGGTCCTACTCTGGCCGCTCCACAAGGTGCCAGGAACGTCTTGTAGCTGTCGAAAATGACGTGAGTGTGCACAAGCAATTCGCCAACAAGCACCGTTTCAAAACGACGTTTTGGCGATGAAATTGAAGTAGAAAAGTATGGAGGAATGCCCAGAGATGGGAAATGAGAGATGGAGGAATGAGCAACTTGAAGGTACCTGGAAGCCAGCCGTCCACATCGTACGTGCCCGAGATGTCGTATTGGTCGTCGCAGCCTGCCGCGCAGAGCGTGCAGAGCGCAGCAAGCACCAGGCCTGCAAGGCACAGCAGTCCTATCAGCTCGATTTCGCCGCATATTAGTAATACAGTGGAGAATCTGTGCGCACAAGCAGAGATGCGTCCAATGGGGAGAAATTAGAGTACCGGCGAGAACTGGAGTCACGCTCCGAGGCGTCTCCTTTTCGGACCGTGTCGGACCGAAAGGCGGTGACAAATCCGCCAGGGTTTCTGGCTGCCCATCACCAACACGCTCACGACTTCCCCTTCAGTGCAACGCCCTCCCCTGTGATCGTTGAATAAACCTTCTGCGGCCGGCCCAGCGGCAAAGCTCCCGGGACCCCTCCCCAGCCAAACGGCGCCTGCCGTTCCTCCCAACCGTCGCGTGCGGCTTGGACACAACTGGGCATTGAATTGATGGGCGTAGAATCGCAAAGCTGCGGCAACCTCGGCAGGAACAAAATCTAACCCGAGCACGGTGGGAAAGAAAACGGAATGGATGACGAGGGTTATAGAAGGGGAGTGGCCCCATCGGGCAGGGCTTGGATCCTGGGCATCGTGGGGCGCGGCGGGACATTTGCAAGTCAATGGGTCGGTCAGCGTCGTCGTTAACTTTTGGCGAAGGTGGACGCTGAATGCCATCGGCCGGCGGGTCCAAGGGTCGCTGGGCGCCGCCGTGAGGGCAGCATGCGGCTTCGCGTGATTCTGCGAAAATTCAAAAACCACCCAGAGGGCGGATAAGGCCATACCGGCGTTCTGCCGATACCGGATTTCTGTTGGTACCGGGTTCCTTTTGATTGCATCTGGTCTTCCACAACAGGATGACAAAACGGAA